TTCCAAGTATTAACTGAATCACCTCCCCAGAAGGGAGGAGGCCAGGTAAGACAGTAGCCTGATACTGCTCAGCAGTGCTCCACTTTCCTGTCTTACCCCTTCTTGGCCAAGGCCTTACAAGATGCAGTTATTTGCATTTGCCAAGATCTAGACCTAGTTTTCTGCTAGATGTCTTCCAGCAGGGTCACCCTGTAAGCCAGCAGTTCCAAGGACGCTGGCAGAGGCTGGTTATAGGGAAGGCAGGCAGGAGACAGGCTCAGCCTCATGCCTAAATCCAGGCTACCTTAAATTCAAGGCTACGGTCTTATGTTAATTAACAAAATATGCATAGCAACCAATGTGAAAGACCTTTCCACCACTCCCATAGGTAGCCAGAGGCTTTCCCTTTGAGCTGAAAGGGTGTTGCTCTCAATGTCTGGTTTCTTCTGGAAGTGGCCCTTCCCCAGTGCATGCTGGCTGTCCTGCCTCAGGCCTCTGGACCTCAAATAGCTGAAAGCTTCACTCGCTTCTGCAAGGTTCAGGATTGCATGATTCTGCCCTGTGCTTCAAATGTCCACGCACGGTGTTTCCCCAAGTGGTGAAGCCTCTCTGTCTTCCAGGAAATAATTACAACAGCAGCCAGCAAAAACCTCTGCATAGGGTTCATCACACACACTGTTTCTGCAAATGTGGCCCTCTCAATCAGGGATGGAATTATTCCCATACGTAACGGAACACGGCTCTGAAAAGAGGATCTAGGGACAACAGAAATGATAACTTCTCTCTTTACTAGCGAAGAAGTGACTGTGGCTGTGATACACAAAACCTGTGATGATGATGATGAGCAAGGCCTCTCTTATGGGCAGATGGTGCTGTGTTGGCCCTGCCTGGGTGCTTGATGGTAGTTGCCACCAATGCTGTACTGTGGTCTTTCATAGTCCTGTTCTGAGCAGGAGAGAACTGGACAAGGGTCTGTTCAGCCTCTGTTGGTGAGATGACAGAGGTGGAGGGATCCCTGGTGTGTAATAGAGCCAGGGAGCAATAGGAGCCAAACTGAGCCAATGTCCTGCCTTCTCTGAGGGACCTACACAACTGAGGCTTCCCTTACAGCCACTGTACAGGGAGTTTTAGACTGCTGCTCCCCTGAGCCACTGAATGGTGCAACGGGACCATGTGAAACCAACCTTTCCTCCTTGCTGGTCTTGCTGGGGACGGAAAGGTTTCACCCTTATCAGATGGGAAAGGCCACTTACAGACCTACAGATTTCCCTTGGAAGTAGTCACTTCGGGCAAATGCAAGCTCCATTTGTATTCCTGCTGCCTTTTACAAGGTGGCCAGTGCTTTGCAACAGCTGGATGCCATGTAGCTAGGACTAGGAATGGTTTCTGTGGGAATGAGACCATGCCTCAGTCCCTTGGTGGGCAAGCTGAAAATCACTGCTGTCAAGGGGGAGCAGGCTGGATGGTGTGGATGGAGAAGCCAGGGGGCATTGCCCCTTTGTGCAGCGCCAGGAAGCTGAATGAACTCTGCCCAGTTGTCACTCTGTACTGATGGGGTCCTGGGCTGTCCAGCCATAAAGAGTTTCCAGAGAGAGGTAGGAGCACAAAGTATCATCTAATCAGTGGAGCCTGTGAGGACTTCAGTTTTCAGACAGAGGCTTAAAGCTGGCTCTGGATTCTAGCTCAGTGTATTCTTGGTTCCCCATGCTTCTCCCTGACCCAGTATGTTGGTTTGGCACAGGCTGTTTTTTGGTAGTGGTGGGGGGAGCCACACGAGTATCTTCTGTGAGAAGTTGCTAGAAGCTTCTACCATGTCTGACAGAGCCAGTCTGATGGCTCTGAAGATGGACATGCTGCTGGCACAATTAGAGACATTGGTAATGCCTCTGTGACAACATATTTAGGAAAAAATCAAAACAGTGCACACACAGTTTTTTCCAGGGATAGTGAATCACCGCTGCTGGGGCCATTCCTGGCGCAGCGTGTGGCAATGCACTGCCATAGCCATAGCCATCTCAGTGTGGCCCATGGTGAGCCTTGCCTTCCTGGCCTCCCCTAGCTAATTGTGCTGCGGATAGAAGGGCAGGGGTGGCAGCGGTGGCTCCCCCTCCCAGTGCCCTGCATGAGGAGAGGCATTCAATAGAGACAGTGCGACAGCATCAGCACCACTGTGCAATGGCAGCAGGGCCACATTGACAGCAGCAGAAACATGGCGAGCAATTCCCCAATGTGGAACCTAACTGAGATCAACTTCTTGGCACTGTGGGATCCTGCAGGAATCTTTGAATTAGTAAAATTGTTGTAAAATTTGTAAAATTGTTGGCAGTGGTACCTAGAATCAGGAATTTTCTTCTAGTCAGAGAAGGGAAGGAGGTGAGAACATGTGAGGGAGAACAACATGGCGACACCAAGGTCAGTGGGAAAAAAGGAAGGGGAGGAGGTGCTTCAAGCACCACAGCCAAGATTCCTCTGCAGGCCATGGTGAGGACTGTGGTGAAAAAACTGTCCCCTTGTCATGCATGAAGCCCATGGGGGATGAAGAGCTCCATCCACTTGCAGCCTATGGGAAAAGTGCTCATGGTGGAACTGGGGGATGTTAGAGAAAGCTGTGATCTAGTGGGAGACCTGAATAGAGAGGACCCCTGCTTCCAAAGGTAGAGAGAGCCCTTGCTTCCAAACCAGAGCAGCCTATCCTTAGGGGACTGCAGCCCATGGATGAGCGACCTGTGCCACAACAGTTTTGGGATGACTGCCAGTGGGAGGGACCCCATGGCACAGCAGAGCAGACTCTCCCTGAGAGAACAAAAGAAGATCTCTAGTGATTAATTGACCAAAACCCCCACATCCTGTCTCCCTGTGTTGTTGGTGGGAAGGAGGGAGGGGCTGGGGGGGGAAAAGGTGTTCTAAGTGCTTATTTTACTTCTCATTATCTTCCTCTGAATCTGTTAATAATAAATTTACTTTATACCTTTAAATTTAAACCTGTTTTGCCCTTAAAGTGTTTATTTTTGACAAGAACAAACAGGAAAATTGGTCATGAATTGGTTGGTGTGGCCAGGTGTGTGCTGTCATGGACAGCAAAGGAGAAATGTTCAGAGTGAGAAGAAAACTAGATGAAAAAGTAAACAAAATTCAAGGGATTTATGTAACAACAGAGCAAAAGTAAAGGGCTCAGTAGTCATAATGCCCATGGATGGCCCACAGAAGAATGGATTCTCCACACAGAATTTTCTCCTTCTGGGAGTCCCAGTTATGAACCCAAATATGTCCTGAGGCTGGCTGATCACCTCTAGGCACTACACTGGAAGAACTCCCAGTTCCTTGCCAGGTATAAGGTGAAGGTATTCTCCCTACTGGCCTCAGGCTATTCCTCCAGACCCTAAACTGGGCTGGGGATCATCTCTATTAATGGTGCAAGTAAATCCCCAGAGATGGATGATGCTCTGAACCAGATCTGTCCACACTGCTGGGAGAGACAGAGCTGGACACTGTGCCTGTAAAATCAGGGCAATATTTCCTAGTATAGTGAAGGAGAACTGTCCTGGTCTCCTTGGCACACAGGAAGGACTGACAGTGAATCTATACCACTTGTTAGTTCTCTACAGTTTGAGAAGCTCAGCATTTTGAACACAGTTGTTGTTTTTCTGGATTCCATGGGGTTATACCTTTTGCACTTGAAGAAGCTCAGAGGTTCAGTCAGAGCAGGTGCAGCCTTAAATTCCTGCACTTGGGCAGATTACCCACTGAGTGAGGACATCCATTCAGCCCCCAAAACAGTGGCCTTGATCTTTCCAGTTTTTTTGCATGCCAGCCTGTCGTTTAAACCACTAACTAAGAAAATTACTTACTTTTTGCTGTGAGATACAGATTAGAATAAGAGCAAAACAGGCATACAACTTAAAAGGGAAAAAAAAGAAAGTTTATTGACAAACCACAATAATAAGAACACCAGAATAAACTTCCAGAAAAACCTTTCCATCTCCTATCTACTCACTATTCCCTTGTTCACATGACAACAGAGACAAAAACTCTGGAACTCTGATGGTTAAAACAGTCCCAATTCTTGCTAGTCTTTTTACCAATCTTTATAGAGAAACAGAAGTTTCTTCCTGTTAATTTATGGAGTTTTTCACAAGAAAACTATTTTTGTTATAGTTTTCTATTGCCCTAATGTTAGCTGCTCAGAGCTGCTATTATTAGAGTTCACTCCTCCCATTTTCACATCACTCTGAAGTATGTATGGGCTATGCGTCTAGAGATAGCATTTTTAAGGATAAGTTATTCAAAGGCAAAAAAAAAAAGGTCTTCTTCATCTGTTTCTGTGAGCTTCACCAGAAAACAGTTTTCTCATGGCCTCTCAGGGCTTCAAATCTCTCAACAGTTTTCTCATTGCCTCTCAAGGCTTTTAATCTCCCAGCACTTCACTATACTATAATTACTCTTTACTCAAATTTACACTTTGAACACTATTCCTCTCTAGATCCTATATCATGAATTAAAGGAGTTCTTTTCAGGACTTCATTGTCCATCTCCATAGTTTTAACAGGGAGATATTTCAGCTTAATTAAAGCATCTTCTTAATTCTCTACCTTTCCTGAAGCTTCTTTTCTTTCTTGTCACTGGTAGTTTATAAAGTCTCTTTTCATGTTAATCTTTCTTTCTCTCTCTCTCTGGATAAAAAGATTAATCCGCAAGTCTCATCTGGGTAATGAAAGAGTTAACATCTTGCCCAGGCTTTTGTAGATGGTTTGGAGATCTCTGCCGAACAGGAGCTGGAGCCGTCTGTGATGGAAAGTTCCTCATGGCTGCTCTGGAGCGTGTGGTCGCTGCTCCAACCCGCTGCAAGTCCAGGGCCTCTCTCTTTCTTCACTGGGCAGTTTCTAGTGAATTAGTTACAGCAAAACCTGCAGCCGAGCCAGAGATCGGCTCGGCCCGGCCCAGGCCCGAGGAAAACCTTCCCCAGGCCCCCCCATNTGTGGCCCCAGGGCTGGCAGCGCCGCTGGCAGGGAGCTGTGCCGCCAGGGCCCTGACAGGCTCTGTGTTCTTAGGGTCGGTCGGGCTACTCCTGAGGGGGCCGCAGACGGAGCAGCAGCTCATCTGTGAGGGTGAGTGAGGGCAGCGGGCTGTCAGCGGGGCTGGCTGGGGGAGCTGCAATCCCTGGCCTGGCTGCGGAGGGCTCTGCTCAGTATGCGGATGAGGGGCGGCGTGGGCAGAGCACACCGAGACTTCAGGGGCGCAGAGGGGTTTCGTGGCAAGCACTTTCTTCAGCTGATTGCTCTGTCTTCTGCTTCCTTCTGGGTGGTATGGCCGTGGCAGGAAGGTCTCCTTGGATTCCTGTAGAACCAGGCCCTGACTTGGCTGTGTTCCTCTCTCTTCCAGCCCTTCGAGCACTGAGGAAAGACGCCAGCCCATCCTGCTCTAACCTGGAAAATTAAGCCCAGTTTCCCCAAAAAGCTAAAGAATTAGGGACATGTCCTGGATACAGTGAACCACTATCCAAAGAACACACGAAAACATACTGAAGAGGACACCACCTTCCAGAGCTGCTGGAGCAACAAGCACAGCTGATGCAGTTCTCATGGCTTCAGCCTTCTCCCTGCCTTTTGACAGCTCCCTCCCTGCAAACCTTAGACACTTCCCATCCCCTTTTTTCCTTGTACTTTTCATTCCTTTTGACTCCATCCCTCAGATGCTCCCCATCCCCTTCTTTCCTTGAAGCTCATCCCTTTGCTTCGCCTTGCATTAATAAACAGTTTGCCTTTTTCACTTAACCTGCATCTGTCTGGAGTTGAAGGGACACAAATCCAGAGCACTGTGACACACAGGCCCCTCCTGCCGTTCTCTCCTGCACCGTGTTTTGTGCAGAGACGCAGAGGAAGGAGCGCAGATCAGGCTGGAAAGGTCCCTGTGCTGAAGGCCCGGCTCCACAGCATTGTGGAGTTCAAGGTGTCACTGAAGGCCAGTAGTGGGACAAGGAGCCTGGGTGTGTCAGGGACCAAAGTTGTGTCTAAGGCCCTGCCGTGTTCCGTCCTCGGTTGTGCACGTTGAAAGGTTAATGAATAAAGCCAGGTTCAAAAACCCTCCTGGAAAGGCAAAATCCCAATTTCAGCAGCTTTTTCCACTTCTGCATTGCAGGTATTCATGGATCTACTGGAGAGGGAATGTTCATCCCAAATTTCTGCCCGTTTTTCTAGGAACACTCCAATGACAGTACAATGCCACGTGTACTGATTCAGTCTTCTGAGGTTTTTTGGGTTATTCTCTTTTGGGATTTAGGGGTTTGGAAGGTGGGGAGAGAGGCAGGACACAATCCAGATCCAGAAAAATCCCATACAGCACTGGAAATGAGGAAAACATAGTGGAAACAAGCAGAAAAGAACTGGGGGAAAAAAGGATTTTTAAGAAGGAAAAATAGGGAAAAGTAAGGACAAAATTCCAGACAAATCCACTGGTAAAGAATAATTTGGAGGTGGAATAGGAGAAATTCCATCGCAGCAGCCTACCAGGGCCTGGGAGGGCCCAAATTTTTTATTTTATTTGGAAACTTTTTAGGGCTTTTTAAAAATATTGGATTTTTTTCCAGGAAGATCCCCCCTTTTCCTTTCCGATGGGACTGGAAGTCAACTCCTGCTCCTGCAGTGCCTCTTTTTGCCCATCCTCATTCCTGAATATTCTTAGAAACGTCTGTAAAACGGTGAAAATGATGGACTGTGGCCTTTTTTCATTCTCAATACTTGTGATGCTGTTGGAGTGAAAAGAAGATGCAAAAACCAATAAAAAATGGGAAAAAATATTTATAAATCAGAATTTTACCATCTACCAGTGCCTGACTTTTTGTTACAAAGCTCATTAAAAAGAAAAAAAAGTTGCTTGTAGTGGGTGACTCCCTTCTGAGGGGAACAGAGGGCCCCTCATGCTGACTGGAGCCATCCCACAGGGAGGTCTGCTGCCTCCCTGGGACTCGGCTACGGGGCATCACTGAGAGACTTCCTGGGCTGATCCAGCCCTCTGGTTATTATCCACTGCTGCTACTCCAGGCTGGCAGAGATGAGACTGAAAAGAGGAGTGCCAGGGCAATTCAAAGGGACTTCAGGGCACTGGCTCAGTGGTTGATGGGGCAGGAGCACAGGTAGACTTTTCCTCAGTCCCTTTGGTGGCAGAAAAGAAGTGAAAGGAATAGGGGAGCCCACATTATCAACAAGTGGCTCAAGGGTTGGTGCCATCGGCAGAATTCTGGGTTCTCTGATCATGGGGCAACTTTTCTGGCACCCGGCCTGCTGGAACTGGATGGGCTGCATCTCTCTTAAGGGTAGAAGAATTTTATCTTATGAAGTGGCAGAACTCATTGAGAGGGCTTTAAACTAGGTTTGAAGGGGGAAGGGGATGCAGCTGGGCTGTCTGGAAGCAGGCCCAAGGGTGGTGAGCCTGAGGTAGGGGTGAAATCAGTAGCCCGGCTGAGGGGCATGTACACCAATGCACACAGCATGGGTAACAAAGAAGAAGAGCTGGAGGCCGTGGTGCCACGGCAAAGCCATGATGTACTCATGGCTGAGTGCTTCACTGGGTGGCTACAAGCTCTTCAGAAGAGACAGGAAAAGAAGAGGTGGAAGAGTGGCCCTTTCTATTAGGGAGGTTTTGACACTGTAAGTATTGAAACTGATGATGATAAAGTTGAATGCCTATGGGTAAGAATTAAGGGGAAGGCCCACAAGGCTGATATCCTACTGGGAGTCTGTTATCGTCCACCCAACCAGCAAGAAGAGGCAGACAACTCATTCTATAAGCAGCAGGAGAAGGTTTCAGCATCACCAGCCCTTGTTCTTGTAGGTGATTTTAACCAACCAGACATCTGCAGGTAACTTAATACAGCAGAAAAGAGGCAGTCCAGGAAGATTTTAGTACGTGGAGGACAACTTTTTGTTGCAGCTGGTGAGTGAGCCCAGCAGGGGAGGGACTATATTGGACCTGTTGTTTGCAAATAGAGATGGGCTGGTGGGAGATGTGGTGGTTGGAGGCTGCTTGGGATGTAGTGATCATGAAATGATAGAGTTCTCCAGACCTGGTGAAATCAGGAGGAACATCAATAGCACTTTTATATTTGACTTCACTTACATTGGAGTGCAGATTTTGGCCTATTTAGGAGACTTATTGTCCATAAACTAGGACACTTATTCAAAGCATTCCTTGGGAAGTAGCCCTTAAAAACAAAAGAGTCTGGGGAGGATGGGTGGTCTTCAAAACAGAGATCTTGAGGGCACAGGAAGAGTCTGTCCCTGTGTACTGAAAGATGAGTCGATGAGGCAAACATCCAGCCTGGATGGGCAATGAAGTTTTGAAGGAACTTAAGAAAAAAAAGAGGATGTATCATCTTTGAAAGGAAGGTCAGGTCTCTCAGGATGTATTTTAGGGGGATTGCTAGGGCATGTAGGGAAAACCTTAGGGAGGACAAAGCCCAGTTCAAACTTAATTTGGCAACTTTTGTAAAGGATAATAAAAAATGATTTTACGAATATATTAATGGTAAAAGGAAGGGTAAGAGCCACCCTTGTTCTCTATTAGATGCAGGAGGGAACTCAGCAGCTGCAGATGAGGAGAAGGCAGAGGTGCTTGACACCTTCTTTTCCTCAGTCTTTAGTGGAAAGTGGCTTGTCCTCAGGACAGCTGTCCTCTTGGGTTGGTAGATGGTGTCAGGGAGCAGAATGGTCCCCTGTTGTCCAGGAGGAGGCAGGCAGAGAACTGCTGAGCCACTTGGATGTTCATAAATCTATGGGGCAGATGGGATCCAGCCAGGGTGATGAGGGAGCTGGCAGATGAGCTTGCAAAACCACTCCCCATCATTTACCAACAGTCCTGGCTCACTGGGGAGGTTCCAGATGACTGGAAACTGGCCAATGTGACAGCCATTCACAAAAAGGGTGGGAAGGAGGATGCTGGTGATTATAGGCCAGTCAGCCTGTGCTCAGTACCTGATTAAGATAATGGAGCAGTTTATGCTGAGTGTCATCACGCAGCACTTACAGGATGGCCAGGGTATCAGACCCAGCCAGCGTGGGTTCAGGAGGAATAGGTCTTGTTTTCTGACCAGGTGACCTGCCTAGTGGATGCAGGAAAGGCTGTAGATGTTGTGCACCTGGACTTCAGCAAGGCCTTTGGCTCTGTCTCCCACAGCATTCCCTGGAAAAGCTGCAGCCCAGGCTTGGACAGGAGCACTCTGTGCTGGGTTAGGAACAGACTGGATGGCTGGGCCCAGAGAGAGGTGGTGAACAGTGCTGCATCCAGCTGGGGGCCAGTGAGCAGTGGTGTCCCTCAGGGGTCTGTGCTGGGGCCTGTTGTGTTCAATATCTTTATTGATGACATGGATGAGGAGATTGAGTCCACCACCAGTAAATTTGCAATGACACCAAGCTGGGAGCGTGTATTGATCTGTTGGAGGGTAGAAGGGCTCTGCAGAGAGACCTGGAACTGTTGGATGGGTGGGCAGAGTCCAATAAGATGA